CTCGGGCTGTGCCGCCCGAAGGCAAGAGCCGGCGTCTGACCAGCAGCGTCCTCCCTCCCCGTCTTCTCGGCCAGGCTGTAACGAGCCTGGAGGCCGCTTGCTCCCAGGGCGGATTCAGTTTGGGATGGCCAGACTTTGCGCTCCACGGGATGTGGAGGGGAGTTAAGCGGTGTTGAAGCAAGAGAGTCTCTGGGCTCGTTAGCCACGGCCCTGGGAGGTGGGATTTAATCTGCAGGCGAGCAGGAGGATGGGAGGCTGTGCTCCCTGCCAGCCCCCGTACTGAGTTACTGCTGGTCTCTCTGCATTCCAGCTGTGGAAGAGAAGTGGTGTGAGCGTGTCCCCGCTGTCCAGCCCAGCGTCCTCCCGCTCCCAGACGCCGGAGTGGCCTCTCAAGAAAGCCAGGTAACTAGCCGCTCGCCCGGCGAGCGGGCCCCTTTCTGTGACGTGGCTGCTGGGTCACCCACCGGTGTGGAACCCCCCCGTTGTTGTGTCAGTTGGCATCCCTGCCACCTTGTTACGCTGCGGTCCCGGCGGCAGCGCTGAACTGCACCATCCCTGCCCTGTTCCCAGGCCGGGTTAGAGATTTAAGGGCTCAAATCGCCGCAGAGGCGACATCGCCTTGTGGCGTTGGCCTGGCCTGGGTTGCTGGTTGCCGAAATGTTGGGAGGAGACAGGCCCCGATTTTTGCCGTCTCCTCAAAACCAATTCGTGGGAGCTACAGTAGGGTTGTATTTTAGCGCCTGCCTCGGAGCGCGGGCCCTTGTTCTCCTCTCTCCCGGCTCAAAGAAGGACCTGAGCTTATGTCAGAACTAAAACCGACACAACCGCCCGCATGGTGACAGGGTGGGTCCAAGCCAGGCACCTGCGAGGGGCAGCGGCTTCCGGCCGGGACCCCCGGCTGCCTCCCCGAGGCTGACTTGTCCTGCGGAGGGTGCGCAGGGTCGGCCCGACCAAGCTGGGGTCCTGGGGAGGGGAGCAGCTCCTCTGCCTGGAGCTGCTTTCAGGCTGGTGTGGTGAGGGCAAGGCTGTTGTCCTGAGGTCTGTTGTTCGGCGGAGGCAAAGAAACACACCAGGGATGCCGGTGGGAGTCCTTAGAGCGTGTTCGGTCTCGTCCTGCTCCCTGCGGACGGGGCCGAGCCTGGGGTTGACCCTAACTGGCGCTCTCCCACTTGTGCAGGGAAGAGGAGTTGCATCGCTCCAACGCTTCCACTCCAGTGAAATTGGACAAGGAGCTGCAGACAGAGAAAGGTGAGCGTAGGTGGGCCCCAGCTCTGTGCCCGGGTTGGATGGGCCACCGGTGCAAGCAAGCAGCAGGACAGGAGGTAGCGGAGGTCTGCGGGTGGGATTGGCTTGAGATGTCACCTGGAAACTAGGGACGTGCTGGTCCCAAGGCAGTGGCACTTCTGCTGGCCTCAGCGACTGCCCTAAAGGGATTTCCGGGTGATAAGCAAGGGGTGCTGACAGTGTTGGTGTGCTAGCAGATGCCTGGGAGCTGGCTTGCAAGGGGGAACACCGGCCCCCAAGCCAGCACGGGTCCAGGTGTCAGCCTTGGGGCAAGATCTGCTGCGGTACGAGTAGCATCCTGATCAAATTCCAGGCTGAGCTTACTCCAACGCTTCCTCAGCTAAAATGGAGAGGAAATCCTTTGTGCCCATCGCAGACAGGGTCCCGTGGCACAGCGCTAGATGTGGCTCACGCAGTTTGCTTGGTTTGTGGTTCGGGTAGGCAGTGTGCAAGGACCGTCCGTGGAGGTGGGAAGGGGCCGCTGCCCTGCGGAGCCCCAGCAGGCTCTTGTAACAGGCTGCCCCGGGATGTGTTGCGGCCAGCTGCTCTTCCAGGGCATCGCAGCCTTGTCCTCGGCTTAAAGCCGTGCCCCTGGCTCTGCCCCTCTGAGACGGATCACGCAGAGAGGAGTCAGAAGGGACAGCCCTGTTGGTACAAGCCAAACGCCTCCTCTGCCCGGGGCTGGTCCTGACTTGTCTCCTTCTGTAGCGGTGGAGACGCCGGTGCGGAAGAAGCAGAATTCCCTGAGCCCGCCGTCCGCATCGGGGAGCAGTGGGAAGCGCAAGCGGAAGATCCAGTTGCTGTCGTCTCGCCGGGGGGACCAGCTGGCGCTGGTACGTCGCTGTCTCGCAGCCCCTTTTGCCCTCCTCTGGCGATAGAATGTGCTCACTGCAATTTCTGCAGGGCTGGGGGGAGACTGACCTGCCTGCCCTCAGGAAGGAGGCCCCGTCCTTGGCCGAGTGGGAAGTGACGCTATCCCCAGCCCCAGTGTCTGGTGGGCTGTGCGTGATTGTGCTGCCTGCTGCCGGACCAGGTAATGGCCTGGGGAAGGCCTGCCGTGCCCTCAGCGCCAAGCCGGGGGCCAAAATGAATGGGGATCGGAGCTCCGCGGTAGCGTGCTGTGGCAGAACCACCTGCTTCACGGGTCTTGCGACGGCCAGCCTTCACCACACGTTCAGAGAGGCTCTGCCGGCTTCCCTGAGAAGGAGCTAAGCTGCTGCTCTCTCTTGGCAGCCCCCACCGCCTCAGCTGGGCTACTCCATCACGTCAGAGGACCTGGACGCGGAGAAGAAGGCAGCATTTCAGTGGTGCAACAAAGTCTTGGAGGATAAGGCTGGTAAGGGCAAACTGGGAACGCGGAGGGGATGGCAAGGAGTGGGGTGCAACCCAGCCTGCAACCCAGGGCTGGCAGGGCCGTGGGGTGTCTGTGTAGCGCAGGCTGGGGAAGCTCCTGGGTCAGCCCTGCCCGGTCCTCGGGTCTGGGGATGCTCTTCTTGCCTTCAGACTCGGGACACCTCATGCCCCAGAGTCCCCAGGGTGGTGGGTGAGGTTCCCCAGGGCCGGAGCTGTGGGATGTTGATGCAGTTTCCCTGCCCGCTGGGGAAGCTCTGCTAAGGGTTAGTCCCCTACGGCGAGTTGCAGGTCCTGATTTCTTGCTCCTTCCCAGTAGATGCGGTCCCCAGCACCACTGCAGAGACTACGCCCGTGTCCAGGCCGCTGGCATTCGCCGTGACCTCCCCGGGGCCTGCGCCTGCCTCGACAGCTCCTGCCCCAGCCAGCACCAACTCGCTCCTGGACAGCCTGAAGAAGATGCAGAGCAGCCAGGCTGCGCCTGTGCCAGCAGGTGAGGAGGAGGAGGAGGTTCGGCAGAGCGGGACTTCGGCGGAGCGAGGCAGGCGCGGTGGGAGCTCTGCGTTGCCTCTGTGGGAGGCAGGTGGCAAAACCCCCTGTTCAAGTGCTCTGCTGGCAGCGGAGCTGGGAGGCAGGTCTTGGGGGGGGGGGGGGGGGGGGGAGGAGGGGTGCAAAAAAGCGGCGGGAAGCGTGGAGGGCTGGGTCTGTTTGGTACGGGCGGGTGCTGCTTTGGGAGCCTTTGCAGCAGCGGGGTGGGTGCCTGGCAGAAGGGCTGGCTGGCTGTAGGTGACCCCCTGTCCCTAAATAAGCTCTCTCCCCCTTTCCAGACTCCACTGGAGCTGCGGTAGCGTCCCAGCCGCCTTCATCAGCTGCACAGCCGCCCGCTCCTGCTGTATCGCTGGAGTCGAGTTCTCTGCCGGCCACCTCTGCTGACACCCAGCCTGTGCCCGTGTTGAGCACGCCTGCCCCTGCTGCCCCCCCTGCCTTGGGGGTGCAGGCCCCCAGCAGCCTGGCACCTCCTGCGTTCACGGAGCTGGGCCAGACCCCCAGCAAGCCTCCCTCCTTCCCGAAGCCAAGCATCCTTTTCGGGATGCTGAACACCCCTCCTGCCAGCCAGCCGGCACTGACTGCGGCCGCTGCTGTGCCCACCGCCACCCCTGCTGTGCCCGCCGCGACCC